TCTTAGTAACAGGGTCCGCAAGACCCACCTCTAATTCTATCCTAGTTTAGTAAAAAACTATAGCTCGAGGTCGATCTTCTTGAGTCAATATCCACTTGAAAAACTGAATCTGTGAAAGCTCAGCTTTTCAAGACTCCTATTAAAATATACCAGCATATAACCTTTCGTTCTCCAAAGATACTTGAGTACATGCTTAACAATAATCTAGTGTTCCTCTAGGTCCAGAAAGGTACCGTCTTATTACTCCCACTGTGTGGCAGATGTCTGGTTTAATGCCTAACATGGTATGCATGGGATTACCTATTGCCAAAGCATAAGGTATTCTGCTCATGCATTTTTCCTTTCTAGAAGTCTTTAGATGTTACTCCTTAGGAAGATGAATTTCACTTCTGAGAAATATAATTCCCCTCTTAGAATTCTCATTTAGAATTTTGGCAAAAGTTTTGTCAATGTAAGTAGCCTAAGGTGATGCCAACAACTTATTCTTCCGGTCTCATAAGAGTTTTATACCAAGAATATAATTGGCTTCCGTAGTACTTTCATATCAAAACGCTTACTTAGTCAACTATTTATGCTTGATATTACCTTCATGTTGTTTCCAATAAGAATCATATCATCTACATAAAGTACCAAAAAAATTACAGCCTCCCTTTTGTTTACATTATCATATGATATATCCCTTCTTCTTCTTCTTCTTTCTAATGTCCCCTCATTTTTTAAAATAATATTTGTACCTTTGTGTTTAATATAATTAAGATATAAATTAGTCGGAATTGGAAAGCTCATAATATTATTTTATCATTATTTTTATATTTCTAGTTTTTAATATTATAATATTTCAATTACTCGAGTAATTATTTAGTACAATGTAAGAACCAAATGATATATTATTGTAATTATAGTGTATTCATGACGGGTTCAAACAAATCTTATTTGTATAGCTTAAGTTATTAGAAAAAGTGCCAAATTGCAATTAATATTTTAATTTCGTGTCAGTTTAATATGAAACCACTTGTACACTATAGCTTGTTGGCTTTATTTTGTTTTTATGTTATTAAAAGTATAGAGTTTTATTAACGAGTAACAAAATACTTGTTAAAAGGTCAAAAATTAAAAATATAAACTAAAACATTTTAAAAATTGAAAAGAAAAAAAAATTTCCTTTAAATTTTTTTTTTTGGTTCATAACGAAGGTCCTTAACATGCTAATCAACAAAACTCAAAGAATAAAAATTACTGATTTAGTGCTTATTTGATTATAGAAAGTACGAAAGTTTCGCATGTATTAATTAACAATGTAAACCCGTTGCCCAATTGGAATTTTATAGATTTAAGGTCAACTCTAGTAGAGTTTTGTGGGCCCAATCTTACATTCTCGCTTGCTAATTCTATTTTAATTATTTTTTACGTCATTTTCCCTTGCCATTTACAACCTTTTACATGAAGAAGAGTAGAAGACAACGAAGTTATTGTGAAGTTGAACAATGGTAGAAGCCACCAAGAAAAAATTAAATGGTCTCATGTTCAACCACACAACCACCTTATTACAAGTCCAAGATAGTGACACTCACGGATATTCTTTCTATAGAACCAAATCAAGTAGTTAAACATTTCCTTACTTGTATTTATTTCATGATTTAAACTTCAATCATTGAATTCAAATTTTGTTTCCTTTATATGAGAAAAAAAAAATCCACTATTGAAATAAGTTATGAACAAACTCAACAAGGGACTTCACGAAGAAAATAAAGGAAAAAATTAAATAAAATACATTGCATGATTTAAACTTCTACATTCGTATCACAATTTTATATGAACAAAAGATAAAATTATTTCTCACAACTCTAAAATAATTTTATTTTGTGATTACGAGATATATATATATATATATATATATATATATATATATATATATATATATATATATGCACGATTATTATTTCTCCTACAACAAAAAATAAATTTATTTTCATCAACTCCAAAATGATGTCACTATCCAGTTTGAAAACAAAAATGCAAAGTACTTTAGTAAAATTTATGATACAAGAGCAAAATGAATTTTTTAAAATATCCTGCATTTTTCTTCCTAAACCTTAAAATGACGTTCTTTTAGGCTTATTATTTGGATTTAATCCTTTTGCGTTTTGCTATGGACCTGACAAATATCCACATTCTAGAAGGTCCAAATAGGGCTAACAACTGAGAGGAAATTAAAAAAATATTCTTTAATTATACTAATCCTACTACGGTAACAATAGATCAACAATTGGATCCCTAATACTCCTAAGAGACCCAAAAGTCCACTTCTGACAGGTAACCTATTTATAAATAAGGGGTTAAACCAATAAGGTACACACACTCTAAACCCTCCCTTTTAACTTGTCATTGTGCACGCACTCCACGCCTTGACCATGTCTTTTGTATTATTGTACACAGTATTCCGCTGATCTCTAGGGTACCTCCTCCCAAAGGTACTTGAAAGAGGGCAAACAGATCCAATATTAACATATCAATCTCTGATTGGACATCTCGATCTATCATATCATAACACTTTTGTTGTAGAAATTTTTTTCTATTACACTCAGATAAAACTAAGTGGGTCCTATTAAAGTGAAATAGACAATAATAATTAATGGGAAAAATGAGACTCACTCACTTTTATGTTAGTATACTAAAAAAAAGTCTTTGCTGCAAAAACAGAAATATTAAACTTATAGTATGATCGTATTATACCAATGTGAATTACACTTGCAATCTTGACCATTGATATTATTTATATCTAATGATTGTGATTTGTTAGGTGAGCCGTTAGATTCAGGTAAATCAATGATAATAATATGATATAAGACGTCTTATTCTCACATCGGTATAAGAATAATTTGCTTATATATATATACATACATGCATACATACTAATTTGCTTATATATACATACATACATACGTACATACATATATATAGGGAAATAGGGAAATATATCTGTAGGACCAAATTTTTCATCCTACTCTAACATCGAAAACAACGCTGCATCATTTTTTTTTTACAAATTGGTGGGTCCCATAAAACTTTTTCTATCGCATGGAATTTGGTCCTGCAACAGGACGAATCTATTTCCCATACCACACACACGCGCACGCATAGACACACACACACATATATATATATATATATGAATTAACATCTCTTCTATCAAATGAGTTCAAAAGCGACATAAAAAGGAATGTAAAAATTTCAAAATACCCTTTAATTTTAATCTTAAGTCCAAAATGATGTCATTTTGGGATTGCAAGGGATAAAATTATTTCCTATGACATGAGAAATGTTTTTCCTATTACATGAGAAAAAGTTATCTTCTGTAAGCCAAAAGCAATATCGTTTTGGGGTTAAAGATTAAAAATAAATTGTATTTGAGTAAAAATAATAATAGAAAAAGTAATGTAAAATTTTAAAAATACCCTTTTGTTTTTGGGAAATGTTTTTGTTATGTAACATAACATAAAAACAAACTTCCTACTCTCACAAAAGGAAGAGAGAATAAGAAAAAGAGAAAAAATTTAAAGTGAGTTCTATATACAATTTGTGTGTAGGAAGATAGTTTTATGTTATGTAACATAATAAAAATAAACCCCTTTGTTTTTAATTTTAAGTCCAAAACTTTGCAGTAAATAAAATTATCTCATGATATATATATATATATATATATATAGGGGAGAGAGAGAGATAAAATTCTTTGATACCGGTGTCAAACTTTAAAATTTGACAATAAATCCTAACCATTGATTTTCGCCAATCAACGCTTATTATTTATTATGAATCAAACTTATTAATTCTCCGTATATGATAAGTGTTGATTCCTAATAAATAATAACCATTAATTGACGAAAATCAACAATTGTGATTTAATGTCAAATTTTGGGTGGACAGAGATAAATATATCTCAAGCTGGCTGCTTGAGAAATATTTTTCTCATATATACATATATAGAGAGATATTTCTCAAGTTGCTTAAGATATATTTATCTCCGGTCAGCCCAAAACTTCGTCGTTTTGTTTATTTATTTTCTTATATTAATTGATTTACCTTTGAATGGCTATGATTCCCATTTTCTCTCTTCCTTTACGTTGATTCATCTTTGTAAGGTTATAATTTAGTGGCCGGAGATAAAATTATCTAAAGCAACTTGAGAAACGATAAGCCCACAAATATAGTGTAAGATTTTTAAGTCTTACTCTCCATCTCAGCCGTTGATAGACAGAAATCAACGGTTGTCATTTATAGTGTAATTAATAATTAATTAATTATTATAACTTCCTAAACTATAACCGTTGGATGGACGGAAATCAACGGTTAAGATGGGGAGTAAGACTTATAAGTCTTACTTTGGAGTCAAATGATCTCTCCCTATATATATATATGGTAAAATTATTTCTGCAGCTGCTTTACGTACAACAACGACAAGTGTATGATTATGATTCTCTATATTTAATGCTTTCATCCTTTGTATGATTATGATTCTCCGCATTAATATATGTCAAATATTTGATTGCTGCACTTACAATAGCTGCAGAAATGTAAACCCCTCCCAGTACCACCTTTAGAGAGTTTTAAAGCCTTAATCCTAGACCCGCTCCGAATCGAATTAGTTACGAAATAATGAACCGATTGAAATATTTTCAAAAAATGAAAAGAAATGTAAACCCATATATATGGCAATGGTTGTTAAATAACCGTATTTAATTCTATTATCCACGAATAAACTAAATCAACTAATTCTATTATCCACGAATAAACTAAATCAACGTGGCTCTGGCTGGCGGCGGCTTGCGGTTTGACTAACTAGATATGTAAATAGTTACTTCTTGGAAGCCACAAGTGAAATCAAAATGCTCTCAAAATAGCTGCACTTATTTTATATTTATTGGTAGTTGTTGAATTATTAATTGCATAAACAAAAACCCAATAAGATAGAGAGAGACCTTTTCTTTTTTGAGGTGGCCATTTCCTTAACAAGTGAGGCGTTTTAAATTTAGTTGAAAGCATGATGGGACCGTTGAGTTGTGGTGTTTCCTGTTGTTTGTTCTTCTTTCAAGTGTAAACCAAACTTTTCTGAGATTTTGGAGTAACCCAGTTGGTTTTTTTTTTGTTTGAATCTTTGAAATGGTTTCATTTGTGAGAATAGTGATGGGACTCTCTTCTTTTCCAGCCAAAGTTTGAGGCACTTCAGAGTTTCAAAGTTCAACTCAGCTTGTTCAATTGGTTAGTTTAAACCTCTTAAGCTTCTTGTTGTTGTTTTCTTTTTCCTTTTTTTTTGGTTATGTGTGCAAATTTTGTAAATTTAACCATATGGGTATCTGAATCTTCACCATTTGCTTTGTCTCTGTGTTCATCTAGTTGGATCTTTGAAATTTCCATTTCTCTTTTAGAGTTGAGAATTATAGCCTGGGTTTCTTTGTGGGGGTTGGTATTCAACAATAGTACCTCATGAAATTCATGAATTCAATTATTTGAAATCAGAGATTGAAATATGTTGTTCTTGATTTAACTGAATATTTCCCCATCATTTGGGAATTTTCTTTTCTCTTCTTTTTCCAACTTTTTTTAAAAAATAAAAATTCTTCATACAATACTCATTTCTTCATATGTTTCTAAGTCTTCATTGCATTTCTGGTTTTGTTATGATGTACATGCGGTATAGGAGAAAGGGTTAGTTTGGTTTCAGAAATTTGTGTTGCATTTGCAACAAAAGTATTTCAATGTGAAATTGAGCATACTTTTTATGCTTGTTTCTTTTGCAGTGTTACAGATAATTCACTTTCTTCTACATAGGGAAGTGAAATGGATAGGATTCAGGATAAGGCAGATGAAAGTAATAAATCTCAGCGTTCCTCATCTTCAGTGGTAGCTCTAGCAATCAAGGGTAACAAGAAAAGCAAATATGTGGTACAATGGGCACTTAATAAGTTTGTTCCTGAGGGAATGATTATCTTCAAGCTGATACATGTCCATGCTGGTATAAAAGGAGTTCCGACACCAAGTAATATATGTGTTTTGCGTTTATTATGTTCGAGAAAGAAACCATTTGATGCATTATAGTTTGCAAATACTTTCTTATTACATTTAGAAGATAACTGCAAGAATTACACTTGTATCCTGAAGAAATTGGTTTATGAGGTTGGATCTATTTTTAAAATTTCAAGGACTGTTCTGTTTTGCAGTCTTGCATTGGCTCTCAGAGCTATGGAATTTTTATAGCAGCATTATGTTGACAAAATTTTAGAACATATAATTTGTCCATGTATCTTATTTTATATATATTTTCCTATTTAATACTATTTAAAAAGTTATCAGCATAAGATTAGTATAAGGTTTTTAGTATAACAAGTAATTGATTATGCATAAGTGACTACAGGTGATTGTTATGAATTATCAAGGGAATATTTTATTATAGATTATTTCATTCTTATAGTTTGAGGGTGACCTTTGGAGCCGTGGTAATGTTACTCCTTATGACCGAGAAGTTACGGATTTGAGTCTAGAACCTTGCAAATTAGGAAGTCTTATGCACCGAGATTTGCCCTTTTCTCTTTATTTCATTCTTATAGTTCAACATTTTTTTACTTTCAGTGGGAAATATGATACCTCTTTCACAAGTGCGAAATGATATAGCAACTGCTTTCAGAAAGGAAGTGGAGTGGCAAACAAATCAAATGCTTCTACCTTTTAAGAAAATGTGTGAGCAGAGAAAGGTTAGATATTACTTTTAATGGAGATTCATTAGAATAATTAATGCAAAATATATAGTATCTATATTCTTATATTGTTGGTGCAGGTGCATGTAGATGTTGTACCGATTGAATCAGATGATGTGGCAACTGCAGTAGCAGAGGAAGTAGCTAAGGGTGCTATAACTAAACTTGTTGTTGGAGCTTCATCTCGTAGCTTATTTACAAGGTATTTTTTGAAGCACTGATGTATAATGAAACAATGCTACTGGTTCTTAAGGAACTTCTATAATGACAACAAAATCATTCTACATTCTACTGGTCTCCCCGAAGAATATGATAATGTCCGGAATACTATCTTGAGCTAGCTTTTGGGGTAAACAAGAGTAATCCCAGAATAATTCCTCTATATTAAACTGAAACCAGTAAACTCAACAATATTCAGCATGAACAGAATCTAATTACATGCTATAGTGCTGCTATAGCTCAGATTGTGCATAAAGAAATAAAGAAAAGAAATCAGCAGAATGTAAATGGTTCAGGGACTTCCGAGATGCCCTGAGATCTCCCAATTTGCCTCAGCAATCCAAATGACCTCCATGGTACCCATTCCTTCTTCACGTCCCCTATTTATCATCTAACCTCTCAGCCTGTGTAACAAACTCCCCTAACAAACAAGTCCCCTATTTATCATCTAACCTCTCAGCCTGTGTAACAAACTCCCCTAACAAACAAGCTGACTCAGCATGCTCAATAGGCTGTGATACATCATATTGGGCTTTATTAAGTTGGGTCCTATCATTGTACCGATTGAATCAGATGATGTGGCAACTGCAGTAGCAGAGGAAGTAGCTAAGGGTGCTATAACTAAACTTGTTGTTGGAGCTTCATCTCGTAGCTTATTTACAAGGTATTTTTTGAAGCACTGATGTATAATGAAACAATGCTACTGGTTCTTAAGGAACTTCTATAATGACAACAAAATCATTCTACATTCTACTGGTCTCCCCGAAGAATATGATAATGTCCGGGATACTATCTTGAGCTAGCTTTTGGGGTGGTGTATCCCAAGGTTCTTTACAGTATATACCAACCAGTGTCCAAAGTTTTAATAGGCCTGACTAATCCGATTTCGGGATTTGAGTCTCTCCACCCTCACAGGAGTTGCGACTCTTAGGAATCAAATTCACTACCCTTTATTCTTAATGTTACTATTGTTGTCTTGTCATAAAATGTTACTTCGTTTTGTGAAATTATTTTATATGAATAGACCTAAGCTTCTTTTGTGGACTATATCACAGTCACAATTGATTATCATAACTTTTGATATATGATGTGAGCGCTTGAGGTGCCATTGTCATATTAAACCTCTCTTTCTAAAGTAAAGGAAATGAAACCTCACCTTGAAAATTTTAATATGGAATAAGGTGAAATACTATATTAAAAAGTAACTTCTTCCTTAAACTTCCGGGCATGGTATTCTTTTATCTCATCATTGCATTGTATCCATGCAACACAAGTAATAGTCAATATGTGCACAAATGGCTCTGAATGGATTTATCATATAGATATATGTATCAATATTTTCTGTCTCTTTTATATTCTTACACAATTTCTGTCATTTTGACATTTTCATATGGTCTTTATCTGATCTTATTCCTCCTATTAATAATGTCTTGCTTTCAGTAAACAGAAGGGTATGTCAGCGAAAATCTCAGTATCCACTCCAAGATTTTGTACAGTTTATGCTGTTTCAAAAGGAAAATTGTCCATACGGCCATCGGATGTACAGATTGATGGAAGCATTATAGATGATGCTAGTGAAACCAGTTTTTCCTCCAACAGCCCATCAAACTATGCTTCCACCTCTCAGACAGGTTTGCTAATGCAAAGTTTTGCAATACTATGTTTTAAAAAGTAAGTGTCACATTATGGTACAGAACAATATGTCCATAAGAAGAATGGAGTTTCATAGCACTAGTTGTAAACCGAAATGTGTCAACTGCATATTCAAATTCTTAAATTAATTTTTTCCTAGTATCTTAATGCATAGACATTGTGTACAAATTTCAATTGCTATCATCACATCAGCATAGGTACTTCTCCAATATCTAAAATTTTCTGGTTCAACATTATTGTGTTGCACAATTGTTAGTACATAGTTGCGCACCTGCTTATAGTCCAGTAAATAATTGGATTTCCTATATTTCATTCAATTAATAACCTCCCTAGCCCTTCCATCTTGGTTATTGATATTAGAGAAATATAAAGCTACTAAATGGCCTTCACTAAATAGCATAAGCTTTTGGGTTAAAATAGTTCTTTACATGGTATTAGAGCCGCCTCCATTTTATTAATAAATAATTAAATATTGTAGAGTTTTGTAATCAGTGTGCTTTTTCCTCACTCGCACACTTCCCGGGAAAACTTCCCAGGAAGTCACCCATCCCAGAATTGCTCCAAGTCAAGCACGCTTAACTGTGGAGTTCTTTCGATCCGGGCTACCGAAAAGCAGATGCATCTTGTTAGCATAGGTAGTACCAATTAATTCTTATAAGCTATCCCAAACTGTGCAGTCTTATACCTGCACAACCTTTGGAATCCCTCTCTTTCGGGTGTCGATTCGATTCGATTCATTCATGCATGTAACCCCCCGCTGGAAGCCTGTCAGGAGCCGCTCCTTGCCCGTGCCTCTTTGCACAGCGATCACTCCCCGCCTTCGTCAGCGCTCAGGATGTTACATGCCCACCAGCTTCTGCCTGGTTCGTCCTCGAACCACACTGTACTGGATGAGAGGCCCTGCTCTGATACCACTTGTAACGCCCGGCCGCTTCAAGAATCAATAACTATCCCCACATACTAACACGAGACTTTTCAGTGTGCTTTTTCCTCACTCGCACACTTCCTGGGAAAACTTCCCAGGAGGTCACCCATCCCAGAATTGCTCCAAGTCAAGTACGCTTAACTATAGAGTTCTTCTGTTCTGGGCTACCGAAAACAAGATGCATCTTCTTTTCGGTAGCCCGGAACGGAAGAACTCCATAGTTAAGCGTGCTTGACATGGAGCAATTCTGGGATGGATGACCTCCTGGGAAGTTTTTCCAGGAAATGTGCGAGTGAGGAAAAAGCACACTGGAAAGTCTCGTGTTAGTATGTGGGGATAGTCATTGATTCTTGAAGCGGCCGGGCGTTACAAGTTTCTTAGCATAGGTAGGAGGGGCCTATGCAATGCCCACCATTCAAGCCCAATGGGCTCTCGTGTGAAAGAGTGTGTTAGAGAAATATAAAACCATTAAATGGCCTTCACTTAATAGCTTAAGCTTTTAGATTGAAATGGTTCTTTACAATTGAAAATAAAGAAATATGGCAAAAGCCATCTACACTTTATTATGACCCTATGCAGTTAGAGTTGTTGAGTTCTACTATTACTTACTTAGATTGCTAATAAAGGTAAAGCTCTAGTATGCTTGGTTTGGAAGATCTGCTTACGTTTTCTCTGAAAATTTTAGCTTGTGTTGCATTGTGGAGAACGTCAAAATTTACTTGCCTGTAATAGAATAATTACCATTTTTGATGTGTACAGAAACTGGCTCAATTGCATCATACGCTACTTTACATTCCTCTTCCCTAGCAACGCAGCGATTTCAAGCTCTTTCAAGTATAAATCAGACCCTTCTAAGCACATCTCCTGGCTTAAATGAAACTAAACATTCTAGAGGTCAGTCTGTAGATCTTGGGAGAGAAATTGCTGCTACAAGTTCTGCCAGACACTCGGATATTGATTCTGCTCTGAGTCGGGCCTCTAGTTGCAAAAGCATTATTTCAGACACTGAATCTTGGATTTATGATCAAATTTCTGGCAAGGATGTGTCACTAGCAACTGAACCTCCGTCACCTAATAGGCAGGTAATTGAAATTGCTTTCTTTTGACTTCGTGAAATGGTACTTATTTCAACCTCATACTCTAGGTGATGGTGCCCTCTTGATTAGCATTGTCATATGTATATAACACAAAATCATTTTACACCAGTATAAGTTACACTCGCAATCATAGTTGTTGATCTCGTTTGCGTCTAACGGCTATCACATGACTAATAAATTAAAACGTTAAATGCAAGTAGGTTATTGCTTCAACAAATTCCAGTTAGATGCAACTTTCATTTGCAAATGAACTTTGTTTTTGGCCATTTTATTTGGTCAGGCAAATATTAACCTTGAGCTGGAGAAGTTGAGAATTGAACTAAGACATGCCCAAGGAATGCATGCATTAGCTCAAAGTGAGAACATTGATGCATCACGAAAGGTAATATCTATTTTCTTATGGCTACAAACAATTTCTAGCTTCTCTTTCTTTACGGTTTCTGCTAACTAATAGGTACAATTTTTTTAAGTAATGCATGTAGTTTCTTCCATCTTTGGTTATCTTTTTCTATTTTAGCTCCATCGAGAAATTATGCCCTATAATAGCAATTGGAGGATGAATTATCCTTCCATATGTCAAATGGAGTAACATCCTTTATTGCTTTGAGCAGCTGAATGACCTAAACAAGAGGCGATCAGAAGAATCCATGAAAATGAAGGAGATTATTGCTAAGGAGGAGATGGCCAAAGAATTAGCAAGACAAGAGAGAGAGAGACATCAAGCTGCAGCAAGAGAAGCTGAATATTTAAAAGAATGTGCTGAAAGAGAAGCTGCAGAAAGAAAAGAAACGGAGTTGAAAGCTGTTCATGCCGCCAAAGAGAAAGAAAAGCTCGAAGATGCTCTAACTGGTTCCATGCCCCAGTACCGCAAATTTACATGGGATGAAATAGTCTCAGCTACTTCATCTTTCTCTGAAGATCTTAAAATTGGAATGGGAGCATATGGAATTGTGTATAAGTGCACTTTGTATCATACTACTGTTGCTGTTAAAGTTCTCCACCCTAATGGAAACCGCAAAAGCAAGCAATTCCAGCAGGAGGTATGGAAGTTACTTGAATAAAATGGATATGCAAAATATTGTTCCATAACATAAGACAAAAGAATAAGTCTATTGTGCTTGAATTTGCTGAAGATCTTTCTTGCATGGTTCCTTTCTCACTGATATATTTGCATGTTTATATTCCTATTTCAAATATGATGTTTTCTTGTCAAGTAGTAAGAGGATGAGCCTAGAGCAGTGATAAAATTGTTCCTTTGTGACTAAAAGGTCACGGATTCGAATCCAGGAAACATTTTCTTTGTAAATATGCAAGGGTTAGGTTGCATACAAGGATTATCCTCACCCCTATCCTCCATAGTCAAAGTTCAATGGGAAGTGGTTTTTAGTGTTCTTAAGGTTAACCATTCTGCACTACTTTCATTTCCCTGTCATAAAAAAGTTGGAGTAGATATTCTTTGTTTTCTTTCATTCTTCTTTACAAGATGCAAACCCACCAATTCAATCAAGTTGGTGGAGGCATTGTAAGTTTTCATGCTTTTTTATTTTATATGTGGCACTGGCATCCCATAACTTCCCTTAACAAACTTCACTGATGATGATGATTGCAAATAATAATAATAATATTGATCGTGGAAAATGAAAAAATACATTATCTAATTATGAGAACAAACTAGAATTGAGCCACACAACAGGACTTACTTATATCTTCACTTTGCTTTTCCAGTTAGAGATATTGAGCAGAATTCGTCATCCAAACTTGCTTCTTCTTCTTGGCGCATGTTTTGATCACGGATGCATTGTATATGAATATATGGAGAATGGTAACTTGGAGGAGAGACTACTCCGGAAAAACAGTACTCCCCCAATCCCATGGTTTGAGAGGTATCGAATAGCTTGGGAAATTGCATCAGCTCTTGCATTTCTTCACAGCTCAAAGCCAGAACCTATTATCCATCGCGATTTGAAACCAGCAAACATCTTGCTCGGTCGTAATCTTGTCAGCAAGATTGGTGATATTGGCCTTTCTACTGTGCTCCATTCAGATAATTCATCTACCATGTATAAGGACACAGAACCTGTGGGAACACTATGCTACATAGATCCTGAGTATCAAAGAACTGGGTTGATATCTCCAAAATCTGATGTTTATGCTTTTGGAATGGTGATCTTACAGTTATTGACAGCAAAACCAGCAATAGCACTTACTCATGTGGTTGAAACAGCAATTGACGGAGGAAATTTGGCAGATATATTGGATCCAGAAGCAGGAACTTGGCCATTTCAAGAGACGCTAAACTTGGCTCGGTTAGGACTGAGCTGTGCCGAACTTCGGCGTAGAGACCGGCCTGATTTGAAAGATCATGTTCTTCCAACACTAGAGAGATTGAAAGAAGTTGCTGCTAGGAGCCAACATTCTGCTCCAATAGTTACTGTTAAATCCAGATCTCCTAATCACTTTATCTGTCCAATACTTCAGGTAGTCAATTGCTCCCATAATGGCAATACTTTGATTTTCTATGGTATAATGAAAAAAATGAATGAGCTCCCATTTGGGGCAAAGACATTTGTGTGTCTGGAATGAAGACAAAGAGTAGGTTAAGTAGTTAAGTTATAACCTCAAGGGGTGGCACATGTGGTAGCAGAGTGTGCCTCAAGGATCGATCTCATGTTCGATTCTTGGAAATACTCATTTGGGCTAACCTTTGTGCTCTAAGCCTCAATGGGGGCTTAGTCTCACCCTACCTCCAGTTTAATACATCCTTTGTTCCAACGAGGAGTTAGTTCTAGAGTCATACTTGGAGAGCAAGGTGCTGGAGGTGGTCGAGTGAGGATACCTCCTGGGTTTACCAAAAAAGGCATTTTAGATTAGCTTTGGTAAAAACATAACTAACATTTTGTCCATATTAATGATTAAACAGCATTGCTTGAGCTATACATTGCATTCAAACTATCTTGTTAATGTTTTTGAAGATGTTTATTATACTTTTTTTATGTAGGATGTGATGGATGATCCTTGTGTTGCTGCGGATGGATATACATATGATCGCAAAGCAATTGAAAAGTGGCTTCAAGATAACGACAAATCACCAATGACAAATATGGCTTTGCCTCATAAGAATCTGATTCCTAATTACACACTTCTGTCAGCAATTATGGAGTGGAAGTCCAGAGAAATATGATATCAGCATTATCTTTCTCAATGTTGATATTGAGTCAAATGATTTATCTAATGTAGCTTGGCTAAAAAATTAGTTTGTATCTTGAGCCTGCTGTTTTGGTTAATTTAGGGTGATTGATTTTCAAGCGTAAATAAATTTAATTCTATTTTGGGATTCTATGATTTATGTACTTGATGGATGCATTTAATGCTTAGAGGGAGATATAAGGGGAAGGACACTATAAATAGAACAGTACAATACGGTATTAGTGGTTGAGTTACTGTACAGTTTTTTTTGTGTTAGTTGTTTGATTACCAAGCACAAGATTGCAAATTTGGTAATATCTATGAATAATGTAAAATTTATTATGGTACTCTTTGTGTTGTGCATTGTTCTCCCTGCAATAAAGCTGCGACAATAAAATGGTAAAACTATTTGAATTTTTGTAATGTTGTAAAGATATAAATGTGTCACATGGACTATTAGGGACTTACATTCCAATCTCAATCACGATATTTAGTAAAATATAATGAGGAATGATTCGTTTACATACTTTTTTTGTAAATTATACTAAGTATGAATGATCATACACTCTTGATTAAAGTATAACCGGTCATATTTAGTATAATTTGTAAGAGTTTATAAACTAAAAATTTATAAATATAACCTTCTCCAAATATAATAGGTGTCTTAAAAAAAACTTGTTTAGAAAATAGATTGTAGGCTTAGTTTTACAAAATTTGGTTTACAAGTTCATGGGCCAGCTTAAATTGCATTATTTATTTTAATTAAATAAAATAAAATAATATTATTTTATTTATTTTTTAAAATTGCTTAAAAAAAACTTGTTTAGAATATAAATTGTAAGCTTATTTTTACGAAATTTGGTTTACAAGTTTATGGGTCAGTTTATATTGCATTATTTATTTTAATTAAATAAATTAAAATAACTATTTAAATAATTTTAACTAAAAAAATTATTATTTTATTTATTTTTAGATTTTTAAATTTTTTTTATAGATATTAAAGGTTAAAGTACTTTTTCTTAATTACCAAAAAAAGTATTGTTTTCTTAATTATTATTTATTTATTTATTAACTATTTTAGATTTAACAATTTTGTGCCTGAAAACACCAGAGTTAAGGAGTTAAGTGCTATCTCATCTGAATAATATGGGAACTGAATCTGTTATGGATATATTCCATATCCTAACTACTCACCTAAGAATCTCTTAAAGGATAATTACCCAATTATTCTAATAATATCTAAACAATAAAGCCAAACAAGATAAAGTCCTTATCTCAACAGAAGAGGAGTTGAATCCTAATACAACTGAGAGATCTACACAAACCCAATAGGTAATCCCAATAAATAAGAGGCTAAAGATCCCAGGCACACACTTTTCAACCTATTCTACTATTACTGCCAACACTGTGCACACACCCACGTCTTGGCTATAAGCCTATTGCTTGTGCGCAGAGATTGGGATATTAGCTATAAGCCAACCAAGACACCTCTTTGTAGGGTATCTCTGAGCGCATACTATACAATATTTATCACGGTTCCTCTAGGACTGAACATTGGCGCCGTCTGTGGGAAACGATAAATTTCGATTCCCATTCCACGATGACGAACAATCGTGCGACATCACGCAATGCTCAACCCCTACCACCGCATCAATCTGCCATCGAGCGTCTTCAACATCTCGCCAAACTGGTTTTGGTGGATGTGCAGGTCGGAGAGGTCGGCGCTTAGTCATTGCACGACACGACCCGAAGCAACCCTGCGACGGAGCCAGTATGTCAGCCACCGCAGAATGAACAACCCAGAGCTAATGATTACATAGTTAACACTGCCTTGAATGCAATCCTTCAAAGGATGCAAGAGATGGAGAACAGGTTCCTGGCTTAACAGAGATTGGATGCTCAAAGAATGGAGGCACTGGAAGCCGAGCTACGGAACCAGAACACTGAAGGCCGAGCTAGGAGAGAAGGCCGACCTGCTACAGAAGGTCGACCTGAAGCTGAGGGGCAAGAACTCCGAAACCCGGCAACTGAGCAGGTTCGAGGTGTTCACAACGAGAACCATCATGAAAACGGAGGTTAGGACAACGACCAAGGAGATAACTATCTCCATGATGAAGATGCTAATGACAGTCCATTCACCCAGAGGCTCATGAACTTGGCAATTCCGTCGAGGTTCAAAAGTGCCAAAATACCTTCTTATGACGGAAGTTAGGACCCAGACGCCCACTTGGAGGCGTTCAAGATGGAGATGTTGTTTGATGGAATAATTGGACCTATCAGGGCCAGAATCTTCGCGACAACCTTGACAGGTCAGGCAATGGCGTTGATAACCAGGCTGCCCAGAAACTCAATTGATTCATTTGAGGACTTGGCTCGTACGTTTCGCCTGAACTTCGCCACCAGTAAAGCACATCCTATGCCAGCCTATGCTCTGGGAAGAATCAATGAATCATTGCAAAAATACCTTGATCGCTTCAAGGAAGCCGCCCTCAAGGTACGAAATTTAACTGAACTTGTCCATTTGCATTTGATTATCTCTGGTCTGGATGGCGAATCTTCACTCGCAAAATTCATATACAAGAACCCGGTCAACGACCTAGAGGAATTTCGACGGAGGTCAGATAAGTATATCGACATCGAAGACATGCAGAGAGCCTATGGAGAATCTAGAGGTCGAAGCCCAAATCGCCAAAGTCCAAGCAAGAAGAGCAAGGATAGAGATCGACAAGGGTCAAAGAAGGCATCTGACTCTCACAACAAGAGGTCAGACGAACGTTCCCAAGAACGAAGTTTGTCAGTTACGCCCCATTGAACATGTCCAGATCTCGGATATGGAAAGAGGTGGCTCAAACCGAGATGCATAATGTCAAAAGGCCTCGACCCATTAAAAACAAGGGCGGGTTGGACAGGAACAAATATTGTGCTTTTCATGATCAGAATGGCCATACAACAGATGACTGCTGGGATCTCCGAGATGCTATTGAAAAGCACATCAGAGAAGGGAAGCTTAAGCAATACCTCATCCGAACTCAGGGCAAGAAAAATAGCAAGCGAAGGTAGAGAAGCCGGAGCAAAAGCCCTAGCCCGAAGAAGGATGACAGGAAAGATTGAGGACAAGATCATCCCAATAAAGGGAAGAAGGTCGAAGACAAAGATGAGGAATACCAAGAAGCTGACTTCGAATACAATGTGATCAGTGTTTTAAAACTCGGACCAGTCATTGACTCGGTCGAGGTACTGGGTCACTGGGTCAGTGGTTCAACCGGGTTCAACCGGATTTTAAAATAATATATAATAAATTTTAATAAATATATTATTCATATTAACAACTCATGGTGCTTTTGAAGTTTCCTCAAACAAGTCGTGTACAAAAAATTTGAATAGTCATTAATTTTAAATTAAATAAATATCCAATTAAGTATATCAATTGAAGATGGATAAATATTAATTTTTATTCCATGAAACAGTTACTTGTTCTTCATTATCTTCCCAGAATGGTTAAAACATCATGCATTGATCATCCAAAGTAAACGTGTCTGACGTCATTTGCATCCACATCTTAGGTGAGTCCAAAGGTAAGCATTGTTGCTCCAATGAACGCCACTTTCTTTGTCTTCTATGTTACTACTTAATGCGTACTGTTTTTCTTTTTCTGCTGCACTCTCCAAAAACATGTTTGTAGCCTTTGCTTCCCCGTGAATCCTTTATCCACTTCTTCTTCTTCTCCTCTCATTCTTCTCACTACTAAATAGTGTCAAATCTGAAGAGCGTCAAATTCTACTGAACCTGAAATCCTCACTTAAGAATTCAAATTCAAGAGTGTTTGACTCATGGAATGCAATTAATTTCATGGAATGAGACGTCATATGCAGCTGTGTCTTGAAGCTCCTTAACCAGATTCTGGTTTTGGTGCGTGGCTCACAAATTTCTGACACCCATTTTCTCTTTAATGAAGATTTGACAGTACGAGCTTGGTTTGAAGGTTGAGTAGGTTCCACATCGACCAGTACATAAAAAAGATATCAGTTTATAAACCATTTTGGATGGTTACAGTACAACTTGTGTTTCTTAACTGTCATCAGTTGATGGGTTAAACAACCCAGCGGGTTTCAGTTTTTTACAGAACCGGCCGGTCGAACCTGGTTATGACCGGGTCAAAACGATTCGAATGCATGTATGATCTGACTTGTAACTCGAACCGGTGAAGGGATTGGTTTTCGGGTTTTCGGGTTGACCCGGCCAGTTCGAGCGGAGTTTTAAAACGCTGAATGTGATAAGTGGAGCCTTGGGAGGTGAAGGTGATACTGCAAATACTAGAAGGAGATACTTAAAGGAGGTCATGTCGGTTAGAGACAGACCTTCCTTCAAAGGAAGAGCTGGTAGGCCTGACCCCCCCCCCGGGCCCAAAGTTATTTTTTACTGAAGAAGACCTACAAAAGGTCGTCTCAGGCCACACTGATGGCTTAGTAATCACTGGGATGTTAGTTAATTGCCGAGTCAAAAGAATTTTCATTGATCTCGGAAGCTCTGCCGACATACTCTTTTGGAATGCCTTCCAAAAGATGAACCTAGATGAGCAGGATTTGAAACCATGTATCACCGAGCTAATTGGAGGCATTCCGGGCTGGCAGAGTCAAATTTATTGTAGTAGATGCGACCTCATCTTACAATCTAATCATTGGCCGACCTTCAATCCATGAACGGGACATGTTAGTCTCCACCAAGCATCAAGCACTAAAAATGGTGGGGTCAAAGAATGAGGTCGTCACCATACGAGGAGATCAAAAGGATTCTAGAGAATGCTACTATGAAACAATGAGGATATTTCAGGGTGGGCCATCATCCCCTCCAAGAGTCAGAGGTGGAGACAAAGTCTCCCTCAGAGACCAATTCCTATACCCTTGCAAAAATCAAGTAAATCTGGTCGAGCTGGACATGAAAGGGGAGCTTCAAGCACCTCGTCCAGAATCCCAAGGAGAGTTAGAAGACATCAGCATTAGGGAGGATGGCAAACGTCATACCAAGGTCGGAAAAGGCTTGGAGGCTGAAACTAAATCGCAGCTAGTCTCGTTTCTTAATGAGAATTCCGACGTATTCGCATGGAAAACATCAGAGATACCCGGTATAGATCCTACATTCTATTGTCATAAGCTTTCCATGTACCCCGAATCAAAACCAGTCTCTCAAAAGAAAAGGAAAATGGGCTCTGACTGACGTCAAGCTCTAAACGACCACGTGGACGAGCTACTGGAAGCTGGATTCATCACAGAGATACAATACACCACATGGCTATCCAACGTCGTGATGGTAAAGAAACCCAGTGGGAAGTGGAGAATATGCGTGGACTACACCGACCTCAACAAGGTCTGCCCAAAGGATTCATATCTGATGT